CAAATATGATGGTGAAATTAGGACATTTCCAGATAAGCAGAAATTAAGGGAATTTGTTAAAACCAGACCAACCTAACAAGAGATGCTAAAGGGAGTCTTTTGGACAGAAAACTAACAACAGCAAACAACAACTGATATTTAACACACATGATAACATAACCCAGAAACCAACCCAGTTATGGAAGTATCCAAAGTCAATAAGCCTACAAAATTTTAAGCAGGGAACCAGAGACATCAATTGAAAAAATGAATGCAATCACAAACCAAAAAGAGGGAAAAAATTGTTTAGTTATAGAACTTCTAAATGGTAGGGAAGTCAAGACAACTGCAAGATAGAATGGATTGTTCTAAACTTGGGAAGAAATTCTAAATCACAGGGTAACCTCAAAGAAAAAGGATAAACCTTCACATCAAAATAAAAAGAGGACCAGCACAAATATTTAGCTAATACTAAAACAGTAACAATGAAGGAAGTGATAACATGATTCACAAACAAAACGAGCTGAGCACAGAACATTATATGGAACAAAGGAATTAGGAACACCACGACAAAGCACATAACAAAATAACAGCAACAAATTCATACTTGTCGATAATTACATATCTGACAGGGGAATTTTCTCTAAAATACATAGAAAACTCCAACACCTTAACAACAAAGAGATTAACAATCCAATTAAAAAATGGGCAGAAGACATGAAGACACTTCACCAAGGAGAATATTCAGGTGTCCAGCAAATAAATGAAGAAATGCTCACGATCATTAGCCATCAGAAAGATGCAAACCAAAACAATGAGATACCATCTCACTCCAGCACTAATGGCAAAGTTCAACAAGACAAAAAATAACAAATGCTGGTGAGGATGTGGAGAGATGGGGACTCTTATACACTGCTGGTGGGACTGTCAAATGATACAAGCACAGTGGAAAACAATATGGCAATTCTTTTCTTTAAGGATTACTTTTTTGCTGGCATAAGAAATACCATTTTACCCAGCAATTCCATTACCAGGTATATATCCAAAAGAAGTGAGAACTAGGACAAGAACAGACATATACACATCCATGTTCATCACAGCACTACAATAGCAAAAAGATGGAAACAACCTACATGCCCATCACCAGAAGAATGGATAACCAAACTATGGTAAATACACACAATGGAATATGATGCAACACTAAAGAATAGTGTAGAATCTGCAAAACACTGCATAACATGGATGAACTTGGAGGCTATTATTCTGAGTGAAATAAGTTGATCACAGATTGGCAAATATAGTATTAGTTCATTATTGTAAAAAGTCAAGGAAATGTTTATATATGGAAGAAAACTTTCTCTGTTGGTTACCAGTGGTGAGAGGGGAGGGGAGGGAACACTGCAAAAAAAAAAAAAAAAAAAAAAAGGCAAGAATTACTGGTCAGACAGAGACTGATGGAACCCTCAAGACTATGACCCCGGATTGCCCTTTAAGCCTAGAAATAGACTCACTTACATGGATTGGCTCTCAACCCAATAGTAGAAAGACCCATATACAGAACATCTACCCCAAGTTGAGGCATCCACATATTCTAGGGAGATACATCCCTTGGATCTAGCAACCATGAGACACCAAAGGGCCAGCATTCACATAAAGGGAAGGCTAGACAGACAATAATGAATGGATGAGAGGGGCACAGGGAAGAGGTGGCCACGTGGAGGATAGGCAAGGAGAGTTTCTTATGATTGGGGGTGGTAATTAGGACCATGAAACCAGATGTGCATGAACTGTTGAATGTAAAACAAGTTTGCTGTGTAAATTTGTACCCAAAACACAACTGGAAAAAAAAAAAAAAATCATAACCAAAAAAATGAAAATCTTCAAGTTAACAACATAATAAATTTTCCTGTCATAATTCAAGGTCATCAGTGTTACAAAAGGACAAGTCCAAGGTTGTGACAATGCATTCCTGCCACAGATTACCAGGAACACACATAGTTTGATTTGTTGTTGTTGTTGTTGACTGCAGTGAGGTAGAACACACAGCATGGAGAATTTTGAGGCATCTCAGTAAGAAAGTGTTAGAAAGGACTTGCTATTGGACTTGGATATGTGTTAGATGATTTGGGGAAAGTTTCAAGGAAGGCAGGCTTTCCTCTGCATTGGATATCGTCAAGAATAGAGGACAATTCTATGACTGTTGTTGTTGTTGTTATGTGCCGTCGAGTCGGCCCCGACTCATAGCGACCCCTCCTTGGGTTTCCGAGGCAGTATCACTACGGAAGTAGGATTGCCCAACCTTCCTTCCGAGGAGTGGCTGGTGGATGACTGGGTACTAATAAATCTCTATTTTTATTCAAGAAGAATAAATCATGGGTAAGCTATTTAGGTATATCTCTAGGGTACTGTAGTTTCAGTTCCAGACCACCACAATGAAGTGAAAATAACAATAAAGCAAGTCACACAGATTTTTTGGTTTCCTTGTGAATATAAAAATTATATTCACACTATACTGTAGGCTATTAAGTGTGTAATAACATTATGGGGAAAAAAAATTGAAATATTGTGAGAATTACCGAAATGTGACACAGAGAAATGAAAGTGAAGGCACACTGTTGGAAAAATGGTGCCCATAGACTTGCTTGATGCAGGGTTGCCACTAATGCACCATCTGCGAAGTACTATGAAGAAAAGCACAATAAAACAAGGTATGCCTGTGTTGGTACAGCAGTGGTAGTCATTTCTGATACACAGATTAGAGAATGTTTGGCATTTTTCTGTTTGTACAATATTCATGTTCCTGTCATGTGTTTAGTCATGATTATGGAGTGGGCTTCTTTTTGTCTTGTTCTATCACAGTCAAGTGTCCTAGTCTGTTCTTGATGCTCTCTGAAATTGTTCACAGTCAACAAAAGAACACCAAGGCATACCTGTGGGTTCTAGGCTGGCTCTTAGCAAAATCAAGGCCTAGGCAATAGTACCTGGTCAGTTCCTAGCTATCACTTTTATCAGAACCAAGGAATAAAACTTAACCCTGAAGATCATGAATGATAAATGGTATCCTTAAAGAACTGCTGTTTAAGAGTTTAAGAATTGAAAGATCTATTATTGCCACAATCCCAGGGATTGATTTATCCTTTCTCTCAGCGTACTTTTACTCATCAACACTATTGTTTCTTACAAGTGAAATACGCTTAGAAAGCATGAGTCAACACCAGCTTCACATACAGTTTTCAACTTCTTTAAATTCTAGAACATACTTTGACTGTGGAGTGTCTATGAGTATAATCTGTTAAAGAGTTTTTGTGAGACAAAATATATAAGAATAGTGCAAGTTCAATTTAAAAGGAGAAATACATGATAAATAATGATCATGCTAAAATGGGACATGTTTAAAGCTATCTTAAGACTGTTTTGACAAGAAAAAATAATATAGAATGTTTCTCTTCAAATTGTGTTATTGATGTGAAGAGTGAAATATTAAAATGAAAGAATTTATACTTAAAGTTAGTGAGGTAAGTTTGGTTGGTACCTGAAGGAAAGGTGAAAAAAGCAAATATATCTCTTTTTTCTCCCTTATTCCAAAGCTTGATGGTGTAAATAAGAAATAAAAGTTTGTCCCACTGCAGAATCAATGAACTCTCCTAGAAACTCAGCTTAGCAAAGCCCTTAAATCTCCTAGAATTCCAGTTCTTCAAAAGGTTTTAGGAAGTTAGAGAAAGTTAAAATATCAGGTTAATGGGCTGAATATCCCACCTGCAATTGAGCTAACAATGGAAGATTTAAATAAAATTCATCCATTATCTGGCAAAATGGAAGTACTCCACTAAAAATTGGCTGTGAATACTTATGGGGGAAAATGTACCTCAATCTTAATCTCACTCCTCTTCCCCATGAGAGATAACCTAGGACATAAACTAAGAGTTATATAGGTTTGGGAATTTGAACACTCAAAGGTATTCTTATTTTAAATATTTGGTGCTTAGGACAAAATATGGTAATAGTAAAATATGCCATTCAGGTATTTTCTACTGGCTGTTAGAGATAGTATATTAAAATACATTTCAAACGGTCATTTTGTTCTCTTTATTATAAATTCTGATTCAATTTCATCAGATACTTATTGAGAACATCTTACTTTGTGAAGCTTAGTGACAGGTGCTGTCACAACACTACCATGCAATAATATGATTAGCACAAGTATTAATATCCCTGGTTTTTGGAAGAACAGTTAAGAATTCATATTCTCCCATATGAGGCATTTATGAAAGCACAGTCCTGATGATGGTAAGAAGCCTAGCATACAAAATCACAAAACAATTCCATCTTTGACCAAGAGAGAATTCACAAAGTGCATAATTTAGTGGAGATTCAGAAATATGGCAAATTGTTAATTTGGAGCTCCAAGTATATAAATACATGTAGTGTAGTTCTTCCATGGATTTGGTGTCTGAGTACAGTTTGCATGCAAATCAATTTCACAGGCACTCATAAAAATGTTTGTGTAATTACAGAGTACCAAATGCAATGCAGAGAATCTAAGAACTAGCCTGAGAATGCAGGGGATAACTACCAACTAGGATATAAAATGGCACAAAACACCTGGGAATCTAATTTGTTCCCACTAAAATACGCAACAGTGGGTGTCTAGAAGTTAAAACACTCCTAGATTTCACATTTCATTTACACTGCTAAATATTTGCCAACATATACAATCATACATATTTAAAAAGCCTATAAATTCTACTAATTAAAAATGATTGAAGCAAGTTTAAAGAGCAGCCTCAGTAGCAGAGCAGTAATAGAGGTCGGCTGACAAAAATGCCATGTTAGTCAGACACTCTGAAGTTTCTTCTTCCATGGCTCCATCTGGTACATTGAACAGTGAATCCATTTAATGTTTCTGTTCTTATAAATAATTACCTTGCTTTATGTTAAAAAAAGAAAAAGGATGTGGACATTCATTTTGCCTGTTTTATTGTGATGTACACCTAACAATACATTAGTTAGACTGTTAGTTGCTATCTGACGTACCAAACATAAATAAACAGGGAAGCTGGCTCAAGACTCTCACCTGCTTTGGAAAACAGAGGAACACGACGGTAACCTGTAAAGGGAATTATATCTAATTAGAAAAATAAAAATAAGTTAATCAGTGATGGTCTCAATAATACTAGAGTGAAAAGATTATATATATATTATATATATACATATATACATATATTTGTTGTTGTTGTTGTTATGTGCCATCAAGTCAGACCCGACTCATAGCGACCCCTCCTTGGGTTTCCAAGGCGGTATAACTACGGAAGTAGATCACCCCATCTTCCTTCCGAGGAGTGGCTGGTGGGTTTGAACCACCAGCCTTCTGGTTAGCAGTCATATATATATATAACAGTGTGTGTGTGTGTATATATATATATATATATATATATATATATATCATGCATGAAAACCATGACTGGGTACTTATATTTCCATCTTGTACATTAGTTTTCCACAAAAATAAAATATTTGCAGTCTCTATCCTGCTTTCCTACTGCCTAACATGCTCACACTTCACCTGTCTCAAAGTATAGAGTGTTCCAAAACTAAGCACCATCCCTCTGTTTCAGGAAGACCCCATTTCCTAGACACATCTCACCTGGTGTTAGACAGTAAACACATTGGGAGCACAGAGGAAATCATCCAGGCAAGGGAACTCTGCAACATAAAGTCAGCCCTGAAAAGGATAGTCTTGAGCCCCTAGTCTCTTTTCTTCAGGTGGGAATAATGAGTCACTGCTTCTCCTTTCTGGAAGATTCCCAGCCTTCTTTTTTTTTTTTTTTTTTTATGGTAATCATGCCTGCTAGTCACTGAAACAAAGAGCTATGATCTCTGTATAGAAATGTTTAAACTTTCCAAACTTGCCTGATTAGTCTTTCTAGCAACTCTCCACCTCTACTTCACTTTCTACATGACAGCACATTTTTATAATTCCATTGAAAGAAAATATGTGTCAATACATATAATTTTCATGGCTAAAACAATTTAGTATATCAACGTGTGTCTATAACACCAAAAAAAAAAAAAAAAACTCACTGACTTGACACACATGTTATATTAAATGTTCACATAATAATCTTATTTTAAGGAATATTACCTTTGTTCAAGCATAGGATTGGTAAAGTATATTGCCCAAGAAATTCATTTCCAGCTATTAGACTTTGACTTTCAACAACAAATCGTATCAATGCCAATTCTGGTACGTGAATAATAAATGTGAAGGTTTCATTCCATCTTGGACTAAAAGCTGAAGAATGAATACAAAAAATTATAGACATTACCTCTAGGTAATTTTGTTCTCCAAAGTTTTCTTCAATCTTTTATTAATAATAAGGATAATTGGTATTTAAAAATAATTAATTTTACTGCACTAAATGAGAGGGGACTATCAAAGACAATAACCATATTTATTGTTTGTTGCTGGGTAGGGTTCTAAGAATTGTACATAGATGATAAAATTGCATTTCACAACAATCTCATCAGAGTTATCATTATCTGTATTTAAGAGGAGGAAATTGAGTTATAAAGATGTTACATAATTTCTCAGTGTTTCAGATATATAGCCATGAAGTGATAGAGCAAGTTGAAGAATCAATTCTTTATAGACAAAACATTTGCAGAAAATTCTTAAACAGATTCATTCTTCTACCCTCTACTATTCTTCTACCCCATACTTCACTTCTCTCTTTCTCTGCACCACCCCCATCTCTCTCATATACACACACATACACATAGGCACACAGATACATGCACACAATGATTGTATCAATGACAGGAGGAGTGCTAACATTTAATTATAAAAATAAAATAAGTAATGTGAAGGGATTATATAATGAGAACTATAAAGCACTGTTGAATGAGATTAAAGAAAACTGAAATAAATGGGAAGATGTTCCATGTTCATGAATTGGAAGACTTAATATTGGCAAGATGTCAATACTACCCAAAAGAATCTATAGATTCAGTGCAATACCAATCAATTCCAAAAGACTTCTTTACAGAAATAGAAAAATAATCCTCAACTTTTCATGGAATAGCCAGAGGCCTCAAATAGCTAAAGCAATGTTAAAAGTGAAGAACAAAGTAGGAGGACTCTCACTTCCTGATTTTACAACATACTGTACAGCTATAGTAATCATAACAGTCTGTTATGGGGTAATAATAGATACCAAAGACCAAAGGAATAGAATTAGAGTCCAGAAATAAGCCCACGTGTTTATGGTCAACTGATTTTTGACAAAGGAGATCTAGCAGTGTAGTAGTTAAGATATTTGGCTGCTAACCAAAAGGTCAGTGGTTCAAAACAGTCAGATGCTCCATGGAAGAAACATGAGGCAATCTACTTCTGTAAAGATTTACAGCCTTGGAAACCCAATAGGGGGTTTGTATGAATTGGAATTCACTCATTGGCAGTGAGTTTTGTTTTGGATTTTTGGCAAGGATGCTAAGTCTATTCAATGGAGAAAGAATATCTTCAATAAATGGTGTTGGAAAAACACAATTTCCACATGCAGAAATATAAAACAGGATCCATATCTTACATCATATACAAAAACAAATTCAAAATAGAAAAGGACCTAAAGATGCAGAATAAAGCCATAAAATTCTTAGAAGAACAAGCAGAGTCAATGCTATCAGGCCTAGATTTTATCAATAAATAATCTAATATTATTACAGAAGCACAACCTGAAAAAAAACAAAATAAATCAATGGGACCTCATAAAAACTAAAAACTTTGTTCATCAAAAAGTTTTACAAAAAAAAAAAAAAAAAAAGATAAGCTACCAACTAGAAGAATATCTTTGGAAACCATAGATTCGATAAGAATCTAATTATCAAAATATTTGAAAATTTAATAGCAAAAATACAAATAACCGAACCATAAAATGGACAAAGGACTTCAATAGACATTTCACCAAAGAAGACATTCAATGGTCACCAAACACATGAAAAAATGTTGAGGATCAATAACCATCAAAAAGATGCAAATCAAAACCACAATGAAATGCTATTTCACTCCCACTGTGATGGTTAATATTTTAAAAAAATAACAAATGTTAACAAGGATGCAGGGAAATTAGAATCCTTATTCATTGCTGGTGGGAATGTAAAATGTTATATAAAATGGAAAACAGTGTGGTGATTTCTCAAAACACTAAAATTGATCTACCATCTGACCCAGCAATGTCACTTCTAGGTTTATATATGCAAAAGAATTGAAAGTGGAGGCTGAAAAAAAAAAAAAAAAAGAGATTTGTACACCAATGTTTATTGCATTACTATTCACAATACCAAAAGATGGAAGCAACCTAAATGCCTATCAACAGAGGAACATATAAACAAAATGTAGTATATACATACAATGGAATACTACTCAGCCAGTAGAAGAAATGAAGTCCTGATATGTCTTGAAACATACTACAGTATAGATGGAGCTTGAAGACATTATGCTAAGTGAAATAAGACAGTCACAAAAGGACAAAACTGTATGACTTCACTTAAATAAAAAGACATGAAAAGGCAAATGTACAAAAACATAAGTTTATTAGTGGTTACTAGGGATGGGGGAGAGAGGATTAAAAGAGGGGTTAATAGTGATGAAAAAATTATACTGAGTAAGAGGAGGGTTGCACATCTATTTATTGTAATAAACTTTGAAAAAATGAATAGGCAAAAGTTGTGTGATAGATATATTTACAACAACAACCAAAAAAGAAGCTATTGTGGCTGCTTACTTACAAGCAAACATCTCATGGGATTTGGTTTCTTGATTTGGAGGTCTAGAGTCATGGTTTCACAGGACATCCTAATAACCTAATAACATATTAAGTGCTTATGTTCTAACTTCTGAGGTCTTAAAAGCTTGCAAGAGGCCATGCAAGGCAAAACAATTTCTCTCTACACACCTGAAGCAACAGAGGAAAAAGAAAAGTCAGGAATAGGAGGAGGATATGGTAGCTAATGGCCTCCATGAAAAACTGCCTCCTTTGACATCAGACCAGACTGGATGGTGCCTGGTTACCATTACTGAACATTTTTATCAAAGATTCCATGGAAGAATCCTGATCAAAAGAGGGAAAATGTAGGACAGAATTCCAAATTCTCATGGACTCCAGACTTTCTGGAGCCATGGAGGGAGTATAAACCCCTGAGACTATTGTCTTGAGGTAATCTTTAAAACTCAAACCAAAAATGTCCACTGAAGTCATCTTAGAACTGTAGAGTAGTTTAGCTTAACTAGTATAAAATGTCTGCTTTGAACATTATGCTCTTTTAAGAATCACCTATATAGATCAAATCAACAATAGCAACTCAATAGATTAGATTAGAACCTTAGAGGGCAGTGAATTTTTATTAATGAGGGAGGAACAAATCGGAAAAGGAGAGTGAAAATGGTTGCAGAACTCAAAGAATGTAATCAGTATCACTAAAATTGTACATGTAGAAATTGTTGGTGTGTGTTTTGCTGTGTATATTCTCAACAACAAAATAAATAAAATTTAGAACAAAAATGAAATAAGTTGGTCAGAATACCAGAATTTGATAGTTATAAGTATGATATTCCCTAGCATGACCAAAACTGAAAAAGTACTTCCACATCTTATCCTTTTTGTACCAAGCTATCAAGTATTTAATTATACCATCTTTACCCTAGAAGCCAAGCTTCTAGATTTCTCATCCATCCATCTTGTCTAGCTATTTAAACTTAACTTCTGCATAGTTTTGCTCACATGCCTCACCTATTCCTTTTCTAGTGCCACCCCTTTCTTCACAACCAGCTTCTACATCCTCTATTAAAATCATATCTTGACTTTTCTTTGTATTTCTCATTTCCCTCTCCTACACTTTTTTGTACCTAACCTGCAGAAAAAGTCTTTCTAAAACTCAACTCTATTATTGTTATCTCCCAGCTTAAAAGCCTTAATTTGTTCATTTGGTACAGATAGGAAATTTCCTAATACCTTGGCATGGCTATACTGGCAATTCTTACTATAACTTTCTCATTTCATCACACATAAATCTTCCTTAAATAGACTATATTCCATCCATTTTGAACTTACTGACTTTTCCCTAACATGTTTGAATTTTGTCTTCATCATTCTATACACTCATATAATTTTTTTTTTTTTTTTTTTGGCTTAAATGCCCTTTTCCCTAATCTTTGTTAAAATTCTACTCATTCTTCAAGTACTATCTCCAGATTTGCTCGTTTCATGGGTTCTTTGTACTTTTTTTAAAGTATTAATCAGATCCTATCTCATAATAGTTCTGTTTGTATCTCATCTCCTATATTGAAATGTAAACTATCTACAATGTAGTTAGTTGGAGCTTGCATAAAAATAAGTCAATAATTAATACAAATTTTAAGTCTCTTGATAATTAGTACCATGTTTTTAGCATAGCGAGGGTGTAATAAAGTTTGATGAATTAAACTGAATTTATTCAGGGATACTCCCATAAAACCCAGGGATGTAATCCAAAGTCTTATAGGAGCTGGAATCATAACATCATAAGGAGTGCTAAATAAAAGTTCTAAACATATTGTCCTGAAAATTCAAGTAGGGATGGAGGGAACAAGAGATAAGTTACTATAAGTTTCCAGACACCAACAGTTACTATTTCTTGACAGTACTGTTGTAATGTTCCTTTAACTCTGCTGTTGTTGCCACTGAGTCAAATCTGAGGCACAGAGATCTTATATGACAGAGTAGAACTTCCCCACAGTTTCTCCTAGGCTGTAATATTTACAGGAGGAGATTGCCAGGTCTTTTCTCCCACGAAACCATTGGGTGAGTATGAACTGCCAACCTTCTTGTTAGTAACCCACTGCATAACTATTGCACCACTAGGGCTCCTTCTTCCAACTCTGAGAGATGTCAAATGAGGTATTAAGTCATCACCAGTATTCCTTTTCATTGATAACATGGGGTGAGACAGCAAAAATTTCCCTAACTTTATCCCATGTCTTCAGCAACAGGAAACAGAAAGGCAGACAAATGTCATTGTTGGGAATTGTTATACAAGAAGAGAAAGACCAGTAAAACACCTACTTCTCTGGTCGGCAGTATTTAGCCCTGGAGCATAATTCTAGACTCTGAAAGCCTGCTATACTTTGGGAATATCCACTCAAAGAATATCGCAGACTCAAGGATCAGTTCTGGGTCTCCTCCAACATAATTCTGGCTATAGATCAGTCTCAACTACCTATGTGTTTCTAATTTCTGTAGTTATTTCAACTTCATAGGGGAAATAGCAGTGATATTACTCTCGTATATAAAATGTCATGGGATGCTGAAACCCTGAAAATTTTATCAAAGTCATTTCTTCCATTACTACTCTTCCCTTCTGGCAAAAAATGACTGATATTTGAATCCAAACATTGTATGAATAGGTTTCTATGGCATTGTTACTGAGTCAGAAGCTACAGTACTTTGATTTAAAATAACTCAAGCAGTGAGACAAAAAATGTGTAATATGCTATGTCAGAATAATCACACTTTTTTTTTTCCTTCTATTTTACAGAGGATGGAAGCTAGGTAGATTTTCAGCAACAAAAATGTCTCTTCTAATTTGGTGATACAGGAGAGAACATACAAAGGCAAAAAGTAATAATTTTATAGGCCATATAAATTTTTGATTCATAATCTGAAAATATACCTAAATGACATTTTAAATCATTGCCAAATCATTTTTACTGCTTTTTTATCGATTGAAATGTATCCCAAAAAATTGTGTGATGTAAATCCTAACTTCTATACCTGTGGGTATAATCCCACTTGGGAATTTTTTCTCCATTATGTTAATGAGACATGATTAGTGTAAGGTATATTTTAAGTCAATCTCTTGTGAGATATAAAAGAGATTAAACAAGCAAGTAAAAGAAACAGAGATGAGGGAAGAGAGATGGCAAACCACATGAAGATTGCCCAGCAACAGAAGCTCAGAAGAGAGGATGAGTTTCTTCCAGAGCCAACAGAGGGTGAAAGCCTTCCCCTAGGGCCAGTACCATGAATTCAGACTTGTAGCCTTCTAAACTGTAAGATAATAAACATCTGTTTGTTCAAGCCACCCACATGTGGTATTTCTGTTATAACAGCACTAGATATTGAAGACAGAATTTGATACCAAGAAGTAGGAGTGCTAGTCTAACAAATACCTGTAATGTGGAAGTGTTTTTGGAATTGAGTAATAAGTGGAGGGTGGAAGAGTTTTAAGGTGCCTAACAGTGAAAGCCTAGATTGCCTTGAAGGAGCTCTGGTGGCATAGTGCCTAAGGCATGTGACTACTAACCAGAAGGTTGGCAGTTCAAACCTACCAGCCACTCTGTGGAAGGAAGACTGGGCAATCTACTTCCATAAAGATTTACCACCTCAAAAACCCAAAGGGGGACTCTATGAGATGGAATTGAATGACTCGATGGCAGTGAGTTTGTTTGTTTATATTCAGATTACCTTGAAGAGACTATTGGTAGAATTACAAATGTCAAAGGTAGTTCTAGTGAGGGCTCAGAAGGAAGTGAGGAGAGCTATAAAGAAAGCCTCTATCACCTTAGAGAATCTATATGGCACCAACAGCAGAATGTTGTTAGAAGTATGGACACTATGCTTCTGATGAAGCTTTAGAAGACAGTGATGAATGAGTGATTGGACAATGGAGGAAGAGCAGTGTAGTGGAAAAGAACTTGTCTGAATTACTTTCAGATGTTTTGGTAGAAGGTAGAACTTATAAGTAATGCACATGGATATTTTGCTGAAGAGATTTCTAAGCAAGATCTTAAAAGGACACATGGTTTCTTCTTGCCACTTACAGTAAAATGCAAGAGAAAAGAGAAAGACTTAAAAATAAACTGCAAAATGAAAACAAAACTTAAAGATTTGGTAAATTATCTTGTATAAGCTAGAGATGTGTGTCTTAGAATGTTTACCGAAGACATGGCTGTACATTTTTTTGTTAAAGAGATGAAACCTGTGACTGATGGGTCTTGCCAACTATCACAGCACAAAATCCATCAGCTTAGACTGAAGGGGTCAGAGACAGGACTAAAGGAAAGAACTGTTGTCTGACTTTTGGAGTTCTACAGGTAGGAAACAGGCCAAAGGAACTATATCTATTGTCCTTCAAGAAGCATTTCAAGAGCATCTCAGAGATCAGCAGAGCTGATGGAAGGAGTATAGGAAGCAAGGCTGCTTTGATTTCAAAGGGTAGAACCACAGCCTGCTGGGTTTCAAAGGATGGGGTCACAGCCTCCTAGGTTTCAAAGAGTCAAATCTTAACCAATTCAGTTCCAGAGTGTAAGGATGATGTTCACAAGTACCAAGGGGATGGGGCCACTCCAAAGCTGAGGGGACAGGACTGCCATGCCCAAGATGCAGAAGAACAAGGTTTTCCAGGGCCAAGGGGGTGGGGTCACTACTCAGATGCAACGGGTAAAGCGGGCCACCTAAAGCCAAAGGAACATTGGTCCTGGAAGACAGATTTGATGCCCAGGGTGAGGGGCTTCCACCCAGAATCCAGAGGGTGTGACCAACACCCAAAGTCTGGAGGGCTAGACCATTGATGAGATGGACTCAGAGAACAGAGGGTTATTTTCAACCCCTTGAGAGCTAATGTAATTTGTTCTTCTGGGTTTTGGATTTGCTCATTATCACTTTCTTCCCTTCAGTTTCTCCCATTTGTAGCAGAATGTCCACCTAGTGCCTACTCCACCATTGTATCTTGGAAACAGATAACATGTACTCTAGATTTCACAGATGAAAAGGAATTTGCCCCAGAATGGAATATGCCTAAACTCTCATCCAGATTTGATTTAGATGATTCAGAAGATGAGATATTGGACCTGGAGTTGATTCAAGACTTTTGGGATAATGTGATGGGGTGAATGTATTTTGCATATGGCAAGGACATGAATGGGGAGGGGACGCAAAGGGTAGAATGTCATGGATTGAATTGTGTCCCCAAAAAATATGTGTTGTAAATCCTAATCTCTATGCCTGTGTTATAATCCCATTTGGAAATGGTTGTCTTTGTTATTGAAACAGGATTGATGTAGGGTATGTCTTAAACCAATCTCTTTGGAGATAGAAAAGTGATTTAAAAAAGCAAGAAAAGAAACTGAGATGGGAGAAGAGAGATGTCAAGACTGTTGAAGATTTCCCAGAAACACAGCTCAGAAAGGACTTCCTCCAGAGCCAACAGAGAAAAATCCTTCCCGTAGAGCCGGCACCCTGAATTTGGACTTTGAGCCTCCTGAACTATGATAAAATAAATTTCTATTTGTTAAAGCCACCACTTGTAGCATTTCTGTTATAGCCACACAAGATAGCTAAGATGTATTATAAGACTTTAGTAATCTTGAGCATAATGCAAAAGTTTTACCTTATGAGTAATAAATATGTATAAAAAGTATATCAGCACATAATTAAGTTTTCCAAAAAGAAGTCTAATAGAAGTTCAACAAAATATATAAGAAGCTCACCATTTTTTTTAATTACACGAGTCTGCTGTTTTATTTGATCATCTGGAACACCAAAAATTTCTATTATCACTAGTGTGTCAGTTTTGTTACTAAGAGGCAGCTGGATACCACTGATGAGCTACATAAATAAATTTTGAATAAAAGAATTTAGCAATATATTAAACTACATCAACACTTAAATTCAAAATAAAAATATATATTGAATTGTTACAGACTCTAAGTCAGTTCTCACAAACATTGAAGCTGAACAAAATGCAAATTTTATAATTTAACTGTTTTATAAGTTTCAGTATAAAAATATCAAGAGCATATCTAAGTCATTGTATTTTACTGATATATGAGTATAATGGAATCCACATTGATTTAAGATTCATTAGCATATATATTTTTTATAAAAGCATTTATCGTAATTAACTTTTACTGTAATTCAAGCTGAATTAGTCTGTTGATGTATTATTTTCAAGCTCATGTTATGTATTTACAGAAAAAAATTGGGAACAATACAAATACTACTCAAACTTTAAAAACAAAGTATAATTTCTGATGACAGCATTTTCTAATACAGTTTTTGTTTGAATGATTTATTATGAAATTTTACATGATCCCTTATTTTCAATGATATCATGAGAAGTAACCTGAATCTGACAAAATCGGTTATTTTATATGTACATTCAGGTCTGAATATCAGAAGAATGATTACATTAATTAATAATAGTTTCATCCAGCCTTTAGGCCAAGCAATTTGTCAAAGCGAAGGTTTGTTTTACTCTGGGGAAGAAAGTGAGCACAAAACAAACTCTATTTGAAACGTACTAATCTCATGTAAGAAATGAAAGCTATAAGCCTAAAAATGCAGTTGTGAGAACTGAGGTATAATTTCAATTTCTTCAGGTTATAATAAGAATAGCAAATAAGTTTGAAAGAAAAAAAAAAAAAGAAGGAAGGGAGGAATGAAGAAAGGAAGGAAAAATGGGAAAAGAAGAGGAGAGAAAAGGGAAAAAGGGGAAGGGAAGGAAAAGAAAAGAAGAGAAAAACTGCTAATATGTAAATTTTCCTTTCCTAAATCCACACATTATGACATTAGCTCTAAACCAAAGTAACAGTACCAATGTTTAACAACCAGTATGGCATAGATGACTCAGAACAGATACTAACATAATTACAAAGAACACTAGCATAAATATCTGGTACACTGATCCCAATGAGTACCAGCTAAATGTCAGCTCTGCAGTCAACAGAACCTTACCAATACAGAGAAGATTCAGCTTTGGTGTACCTCAAGCCAAAGTATATAAAAAACATAAAATAATCAAATATGTGAATTGAAAGAGAATATTTGGTTAAATCATTTTTAAAGTCTGATTCACAAAGCCCTTTTAGGGGTCCCTATGAAGGAAGAGATGTCAAACAGGAAACCCTCAGTGATCAATAGAGTAACTTGCTTTTATATATTGGCCTTATGTGTAAGATTTTGCATTTTTAAAAAAATAGTTTTTAAAAGTTTGAAAACAACTGGCCTAGTGCAAAACTCACAGTTTCCAAATTACAAAGAGTAAATAGGAAATATTGAGTGGGTTGATCAGGAGCGTATGAAAGCTGATGGTAAAGCTTGTGGTTAGGTTGTTGTTAGGTGCCATGGAGTCAGTTCCAACTAATAGTGATGACACTACGTTCAACGGAACCAAAGACTGTCCAGTCCTGTGCCATCCCGATGTCATTGCTGTGTTTATGCTCATTGTTGCAGCCACTGTGTCAATCCATCTTGCTAAGGATCTTCCTCTTTTTCACTAACCCTCTGCTTCTCCAAATGTGACATCCTTATCCAGGAACATGTTATCCCATTGATAACATGACCAAAATCAAGAGACAAATCTCATCATCGTTGCTTTTAAGAAGCACTAAAGCTGTACTTCTTCTGAGACAGATTTCTTCATTCTTTGACAGTCCGTGGTATAGTCAGTATTCTTCACCAACACTGTAATTCAAGGGCATCAGTTCTTCTTCAGTCTTCCTTCTTCGTTGTCTAGCTTTCACATGCATATGAGGTGGTTGAAAATACCATGGCTTGGGTCAAGCACACCTTAGTCTTCGAAGTGACAACTTTGCTTTCTAGTACTTTGAAGAGGTCTTTTGTAGCAATGACAAAATGCAATGTGCTGTTTGATTTCTTGACTACTGCTTTCAGGAGTTTTTACAGTGGATCCATGTCAAATGAAATCCTTGACAACTCCAATATTTTCTGTTTATCATGATGTTGCTTGTTAGTCCAGTTGTGAGGATTTTTCTTTTCTTTATGTCGAGATATAATCAATGCTAATGGTAAAATGTCAGGATGATAAAACTAGGTGGCCTCCTCATTACCAAAACATGCCACCACAGTGTATGTAAGGGGTAAAGTAATCACAAAGTTCCCTACAATGATCAAAGAAAGAGAGAAAGATGCACATGGCCATGGCGCCAGCTTTCTGAGAAAATCACAAACCTTGCCTGTTTCTCTTTAGGCCACTTGAACCTCACATATGTCTCCTCAGAATACAAACATGTGACATTTGTAAGTGCCTGTGCATACTATTTTCCACCTTTACTTTCTCAATGCAAGAATCTATGTATTCACTTTAATATCCTCAACCTGAAAAACAAACCATTCAATTAACCTACATGTATTGAGCAAGTGGTTTCTGATCTGCTATTAACCTAATGATTGTCAATTCAAACCACCCAGCAGCAACATAGGAAAAAGGCCTAGTGATCTGCTTCAGTGAAGATTACATCCAAGAAAACCCTTTGGAATTGTTCTACGTTGTAACACATGGAGTCACCACGAGTCAGAATTGATTTGACAGCAACAGGTTTAATCTTTTGGTTATTGAGCAAATACTTGGTGTCATCCAATGTGAATATGAATTGAGCAAAAGAATGATCCGTAAAAGAATCCTTAGGCAAATAGGGGAGAGGTAAACATAAGTAAATAAGTAATTATAATACAATGTGATAAGTGCCATAACATATTCATGCATAATGGGGTGTTGTGGAAAAAAAGAAAAATTATGAAAGAAGCACCTAGCTTGGAAAAAAGCTTCCAGAAAGAGGTGACTCAAGAGTCTTGAAAAATGATTCAGGATGCAACAAGCAAGTGAAGACTGGAAGGACAGTCCAGTCAGAAAAAGTAGTATGTATATTATAAGATGTCACCATGGACAGAAAATGTTCCTAGCTCCATATGGTTACGGAGTAGGGTGAAAAGCTGGGAGTGGTGAGAGGTAGGACTAAAGGAGTGGGTCAAAGAGTAGGAAAGCAATAACAAATCAAGCAAATATTAAGTAAGCATAAGATTAGCATTATAGCAAAATCTCTCTTGTTGACTCGGAGCCCTGTGAGCAGCTGTTAAGTGCTCAGCTGCCAACCAAAGGACCCGCTGTTCAAACTCACCAGCCACTCTGTGGGAGAGAGATGTGGCAGTCTGCTTCTGTGAAGATTATGTGATAGTTATGTTGTTGTTGTTGAGTGCCGTCGAGTCGTTTCCGACTCATAGTGACCCTATGCACAGCAGAATGAAACACTGCCCGATCCCACGCCAGCCCCACAATCCCTGCTATACTTGAGGCCATCAATGCAGCCACCATGTCAATCCATCTCGTTGAAGGCCTCCCCCTCTTTCGTCGACCCTCCACCCTACCAAGCATGACATCCTTCTCCAG